CTTGATATAGTCAGTCAGTATCCAACTACACAGTGAAATGTATGTAATGGCAATGAAGATTTGACCTGTCCCCTTTTCAGTGAAACATGAGAGAAAGTCATATGAAACATGATAATATGAACATTTAATTTACAAGTATAATGTTTTTTTTAACAATTGCAAAAATAAAAACTCAAAGTGCAAGTGTTTAAGGAATAAATTTTACTTTGTTTTCAAGTATTTTCTTCTGCATATTCAACACAAAAAACGCTGGGTGAGTGCATATATGACAGGTTTAAGTACATTTTCACTAAAACATTTACCATTTTAATTTAAATTACTTAGTTTTGTCTATTATTTTAATTCTGATCAAGTTTATAATTGTATTTTTTGGTTGGACACGGGCAGCTGATGATTTACATAGAGGTAATTCTATTCTGTTCTAACAACCACAATGTGATCACGGGCCAAAACTTGTCTAAATTACACAATTATGATTGAACTAATAAAAATAGATGACAACACCTTCATTTTGCTAAATCAATGTTGAAATCTTGGAAACCGTGTTGCGTAAATTGCCTTTTCTGTTTTGACGACATAGGTAGAGATATTCAGTTTTAGAACTCACCACTACTTCCTGTATTTTTGTACTTTTTCTGAACTTTTTGTCCTCAAACTGATTTAAAACTATGATAAATATTTACCACATGCACTATCCCTCCAAACCAAGTGATAATTTGAAAAAAGAGAACCTCATATGTACCTAAAAAATAAATTGTAAATGTGTGCTGCTCGTTTGTCATTTATGTGATACCTTTGTGACCGTAGAAAGAGAGATATGGGGCTGTGGTTCAGTTTAACAAAGCAAATTACTTTTATAGAGAGAGACCACCTCCTCCTCCTCGTCATGTTTAAACAGCCACTTGAACCTCACATAATTGCTCTGGTATGGACTAGTTAAGGTCTGCCAGGGGAGAGGAAAAAAGTCCTTGTTTGGATTTGGTTGTAGTTGTAGTGCATTACACGGTTGGTAAAGCATCTCTCCAAAAAATTGTGAAGTTATTGATTTGACTCCCAAGCTTGTCCATGGGCAAGACACTTCACTCCCTTTACAGTTGCATCGATGTGGTTGTGATAAGAAGAGATTGTGAAGCGCATCAAATAATATGTGACTTGCAGATCTAATGTGTCGCACTTTGATCTGGATGAAGAAATGTACTAAAATACACTAAAATCTAGAAAAGAAATAAAACTAGAAACAAAATCTGCACTTATCTAGTCCTTAAAGGTCCAGTATTATCTATTATTTATTTTTTTTAAATCAAACATTGTGATTTTTCATTCTTTTATACCTCAACATGAACAACAGCCTTGAAATGGCAAGCATATTTTTGTAGTACAATTAAACTAAACAAAACCTTGATTTGAAAACTTTGTAAACTGTCATCTTCAGAAAAAAATGTACCCCTCATTCTTGGGCGATTTTTGCATAGGAATAGAAATATTTAAAGCCATATAAATGTGGTTTTATTGAGAAAAAAATAAAATCTAATATAAAATCTCTGAGCTATATGTAAAACCCCCTTGTTGCCTTGTTTGCAGTAATGTTATGCAACAGAAGATGTAAGAAGAGCTGCTAGTGTAAAGAGGAGCTCTCCCAGTCCTCCCTCACAACTGACCAGCAGTGACCACACATAAACAAACACACAACGTCCAGCTGCCCCGAGCCTGGACACACTGTAAAATCAGCCAGGAATGTCCCGCGTCGCCCCTGTAACCCAAAACATTTTTTCAGTGCGTGTTACACAATGATTTCCATAGTCACCTTTAACACAGTGTTGGTTCAGGCTATTTAATATGCTTTAGAGATCAGGGCTAAAAATAGAAGGCTGGCTACTGCGATTATATGTTATATGTATGTCTCTCAATAATTATTTAGGCAGTATTACTGCCTGTTGTACTGCAATCTAATCTCTCTCAGTCTAAAAATACACAACAAAACAAGATATGGTCCCATTTTAGTACTGAATAGTTTATAGAAGCTTTGGTGGTGACTCAAGCACTGTTTGTGCAGTTTAACTTTATATTGAAATCTGTCTCTAAAATTCTACAGTATATTAAACGATATAAATAAAACCAAAATATATTTATAGCTATCTCTTAATTTTTAGATCTGGATATTTGTCCACCATTTGATTGCAGGGCAGCTAGGGGTCTTCTAGACTACTCAGTGTGTTTCATTAGCCCCAAGGGGATAAATAGTTGTTTGATTAATGGATAAAGAAACATTCTTAATTCTTCACAAACAACTACATTATAAAAGAAAGTAATGCACAATTTAACAAATAAAATACACTAATACCAAAATAAATTGTATTTAATATTACAGTCTTTGTACAACCTCATAATGCGACTACTGGCATAATGCAGTTTAACGCTAATAAGACGTATTTGTGTACAATTTGACTAAAATTTGGCAACATTGCCACCTCCATTATTTTCTATGAGCCAATTCACACCGGACGCTTAACCCTGTGCCATGATTGGGGTTGAATTGGATTGTTGAATAGGGATGCGGCGGTGTGTTTGAAGACACATGCATTGCTTCTGCAGTGAGTACAGTGAGTGTCTCTACTCTGTGAGCGACAAAAGGAATGAAGTAAACTTTGAGGAGGGGCAGAGAGATACAGGAGAGGCAGGGAAAACCCCAGTGTTCAACTCAGCCAAACACCGGCTCCTCTCCCGCTTCTCTGCGCACAAGGAAACTGTCGCCTCTCGCTAAAGTCACTATAACCTCCTCAAAACAGCACCTTTCCTCTCTTCTCACAGCCTTGCGCTGTGTCTCTTATTTTATAAGTAATCTGCAGATAAAACACAAATTTATAACACATTAAGAGTTGTTAAAGTCTTTTTAGGAGCCATTATGCGCACGGCGTTCAGTGTCCGATGCGCGGCTAATAACGTGCTGTGGCGCGCCCTATTTTGGTGTGTGTTGGCCTTAAGTCTAATGAGTCTACGTATTTGCCCCTAAATGTTCTCATTTGTACTGCCTGTCATACATGATTATTTAAAAGCTTGATGGATTGATGACAATGACAACCCCTCCAGTCTAATCCATCATTCTTTTGTTTAGTGACTTGAGTAAATGTTAGAGTGACTTGATACGGCTTTGTGCTGTACATAGTTTAAATACTTCTCGTAAAAACACATTATTTATGTCCCTACGAGAACTGACAAACCACTGATCTGTTTTTTCCCTGTGGATCTGAAAAATATTACATCATGTTTTACCACAGAAAATATTTAGCTTTCCTGGGAATGAGTCTTAAGCAGACTGAGCTAGGTTTTAGTTCAGTTCCAGGAATTAATCAGGACTAAATCAAGACTCTTCGGTTTCGGCAGTAAAATAAAATTTACTTTACTGTACTTCATATTTTTGTTATTTGTTATTAGACCGGGACTGAACCCAGACTAAACCTGGGGTCTTGCACCTTTAATATTGCACTTTACATCAAAATCTATCAGTGTTTGTAGCTCTAAACATAATTTTGTTGTCCTCTATGACAATGATGATATTTTCTAAAACTATATATTGACTAAACTAGGACTAGGAGATTAAACTGGGATTAAACTAGGACTAAACTGGACTAATTAAAACCTAAAACATAACATATTTTTCCCCAATTTATGACAGACTAAACCATCTTTCATTTAATCTAAAGTAACCATTCTTGCGGCGTGTGGAGAGCCCCTCCAGGACTCAAATGTTTTCAGTTTTACCTGTGTTTTCTCTGCACGTGTGTTGTGTGCTGGAGAATTCTCGCCATAACTCTCCTGTTTTGTGAAGGGATGAGCAGACGACAGTAGTCCATATTGGAGCGTGGCCTGGAGCCAGTTATGCAGCTGCTAAACAAAATGTCAGCAAAGATGGTCTGGTCTTCTTCACAGACTCAAGACACAACCACCATGTTTCTCTGGAAAAATAGCCCCTCTAATTACCAGGAGATCTATTTTGGACCCCACTCCAAACCATAAATGACACTCAAACATGCTTCACAGTAGACTCCTTGTTTATCCTATTAGTCATGTGAAATGGTCCAAGTTAAATTGTTAATCTTTTTAGGACTGTATCGCGGCATATAAATGTCTAAAGGTTAAAGGTATTCAATTAAAAGCTCTAAGATGTCTACTGAAAATGTCAATTTTTTGACAGTTTTGGAAGTCAACGTCATTTATTTAAAGTAGCAATAACAAACCTAATAGCCTGCTGTAATTAACATTTGTAAAAAAAACTGTTTTTGAGGCCTTTTCACCCACTAATCTCATACCACATTGGAATGTATGGGGTAAAAGAACTTTGGACTTTTGGACTAACTCAAGAATGTATAATTTTCCTGAAAATTCTCATCACTGAAAATGATAACATTCTTATCTAAAACTATTTTTCAAACTACGTGGCATTTTTTAAAAGAAGAAAACAATATATATAAATGGTAATAATTTATTTATTATATTACTTGGTTGGATTGATAAGTATTAATCATATAATGTAATAATGCAAATTTACAAAGAGCTTTACAGTCCCAAAAATATACAGGCCCCCATAATAAAACAGAAAACGATAATATACTGCACATTTAATGCATTAAATACAATGAATGAATCAATTAAACAATTAACAAAATGCTGCAGGATATGCTCACCCAAATGCTTGCCGGAATAAAAATGTTTTTAACTTGGTTTTAAAAGTTAAAGATATTTAATTTTTCAGAGCTCGAAGGGCAGTGAGTTTCAAAGATAAGGGGCATGAACTGAAAAGTCCCAGCAAGGAAAAAACATTCTGATTTAAAATTAAGGGTGTAAACTTTCCTTAAACTTTCCACAAAATTCTCATTATTTTTAACTCCATACATTTTAACATAAACCCAATTTTATGAAAGAAAGAAAGCATATTGTGTATAGTACTGCAAATCAATAATGTATTCTAACCACGTTTCTGTCTCTCTCTTTCTCTCCTCTAGTCTGTTCGAGCAAAGACATCAGGAACAATGTGACAAATCTACAGGTTTTAGAGAACTGCACCATCATCGAAGGCCACCTAAAGATCTTGTTGATGTTCAGGACTAAAGCAGAGGACTTCAGAGGCGTCAGTTTCCCCAAGCTCACTGTCATCACAGATTACCTTCTAATGTTTCGAGTCTACGGTTTAGAAAGCCTCAGCGACCTCTTCCCAAATCTCACCTTAATACGTGGAAGCAATTTATTCTTCAACTATGCTCTTGTCATTTTTGAGATGATCCAGCTTCGAGAGATCGGCCTGCATAGTCTCATGAACATCACGAGAGGAGCAGTGAGGATAGAGAAGAACCCAGATCTTTGCTACCTGTCAACGCTGGACTGGTCGAAGATTCTGGACTCTGTGGCGGACAATTACATTGTGTTTAATAAGAACGAGAGAGAGTGCGGAGATGTCTGTCCCGGGGCGGCTGTGGGCAAGACCACCTGCCAGACCACCACCATCAACGGGCTCTTCAACGAGAGGTGCTGGAATCAGAAGCACTGCCAGAGAAGTAAGTCTATGCTTTTACTGGTACAATAGTGAAAGCACCTAATGCGAAGACTGGAAATCAGATCATATTGTGCAGTCTCATCGCAAATGTGATAAAATGTCAGTGTCGATAATCTTCTCTATTTGAGGTTCAAAGAAGTGTTAGTAAGGCAGCAACCATTCAACTGAATATTTCTGGTTAATTGGCTAGTAAAATAATCTGAATTGTGTCTGGACCATTGTAATTGTTATCTGGACTATAGAGACTGAAAACATGTGCTAAAAGACGTTTTATGATTTAGTGACATTATCAGTATTACACTTTATTCAAAAGTATTCCCTTCTTATAAGTCTTCAGACACCATATTTCAAACCTTATTTGGTCCACGCACAACAGAAAATATAATTTGTCTGATCACATAATTCAAAAAATGGCTGCTGATTACTCGACTACTAAAGTAACCGTTTGTTTTTAGTCAGATACTAGGCATGAAATAGGAAGATACTTTGGGTGATACTGACAATCAGATCATACTTTTCAATCCTCAGAAATTTGCTTCAGGTTGTCTTGGCTGAGGTAAACCATTTCACTAAAAGCTCAATATTTTACTGAGCATTCCTATAATTATGATTCATTAACCATAAATGGCCACGAACAGTCTGGAAGTAACATCCCAGTAGAATTAATGTTGTCCAACAAGAAAAAAAAAGTTATGACATGGTCCTAATTTTATCATTCCTAAACCATGGATAGTTTTTGTTCACCAAATCTGAAACTCATTGCCTTATATTATTGTTTGAAACATGTACGGTTATTTCTATGACGACTGTAAACATGGGACCGGTCTGACGTGTGGAGCCCTGGTTGGAAAATAATAGTGAACATAAACAAAGACACAAACACATCTATCAAATCTACTAAACCTGAAATGCAAGAGTTTGTAAGTTTACATAAAGATCAAGTGTAGACACAAAAACTACAACCAGGATTGAGTAACACACGCTGAAAACTACATCTTATTATTAAGCATTAGCTAAAGAGGGACCTGATTTATCCATTTAAAAGCATTACAGACACGTAATGATTACCTCCAAGCAACGAAACCTGACATTTTCACATGTGTCAGTGCCAACTCCACTCCCAACCATTTCAGTCCAACGTCTATTACTTTATCACTGTAGAACTAAAGTCACTTTGTTTACATGATAATAATGAGCTCAAAACTCAACAAAAACAAAATAGCAGAACAAAAGAAGCAAAAACAGCTTTTCTTTGCAATTTTTTATGACACTTTTACTTTTAAACGGTAAGTGTTTTAGTGGTTGCGTTGTTCCAGCAAAGTGGTGAAGCAAAAAAGGAACTACATAGACATTTGCTATGGCTCAGTGCACGTTTTAAACAGAGTGCAAAATTTGAATGTATAAAAATAAAAATGCATAAATATATGTTAATATGTACTAGTATTTGTGGTATTTACAGTAATTTCACATTTGCCTGATATTTACAGCTGATATTTACAGCTCAACGAATAATAATAACAGGTTTTAGCACATTTCTGATCATCGTTATGGAAGAAGCAAGATTTCTTTTATCAATATCACCCACCCATAACTTCCCAGCCACACAATACTCCAAAAAATATTGTACCAAACTATATCAGCTGCTATTAAATGTCAAAGAACTACTCAGTTGTAAGATATAATGTAATGAATGCATTTTATTCCAAACTTATCAAATACATTCACTATCTCTATGTGTGTTATCGCTGTAAAACTACTACGTCATTTTCTCCCTTATTGCCAGCGTAGTTGAAGTTCAAGTGCTAGTAGAATCTGTCATAGACTCTTGAACTGTGAGGCTGCGTTGCGTAACTGTTGTTTACATTCGCTTCCCTGTGTGTGTGTGGGTTGTGTGTATGTGTGTGTACTTGTGTGCCTATGTAGTTTTAAAGCCTCTTATCGGTAGGCTGCTGTTTGTTTGGTGCTGGCCGTGTACAGATGGGTTGCTCTCTGCTCTTTTGACTAGATCTGCTGTTATACTTCAGCCTATAATTACTTAATACAGTTTGACAGTGATCGCAATAGGCCCACATGGACTATTTGTGTAAACTGTAGATGTGGTTATCTTCAAGGGGCATGGCTTTGAATAATCATAATAATACTATACAGACTTATCGTTAAATAACTTAGAGAGTGAGCAATATTTTTGGGTCAAATTCTATGATACTTTTTACCTTTTTAGTAGGTTGCTCTTCCATTTTCGAGGTTTCATTGAGCTATTTATTTATGATTCAAGTTATTCATTAAAATGTGCACTGTGTAACCTCTGGGGGAGGGTTTGGCACCTGCTTGTGTCCTAACATTTATTTCTTGCATGTGTTTTTATTGCTTAAAATGCTTTGAAAAACATGCATTCTTACTGTAAGTGGGCTCGCCTTCTCACAGATCTGCCTTGGTTGTTTGGATATGATTGGGTTTAATGTCATACCATGGAATATTTCAGGCAAAATAATAACATCTCTACGGAGATTTTACATAGTGTACCTTAAAGAAAAAGAGTTCTTGGATTAGTTTAATTTCAATACTGGCCTGGGTATGAGAAGCTTTAAATTATCCAGTTTTACCAGGAATCTGGTCTTGGTTTGGGTCTTGATCTGGACTCCAGTCTTGGTCTCTGGGCCTGGTCTTGACTCTGGTCCTCTGTTGGGCCTGGTTTGACTCTGGTCTTGTTTTGGTTTTGGTCTCTGGGCTTGCTTTGGACTCTGGTCTTGCCTCTGGTTTTGGGTTGGACCTGGTTTGGAATCTGCTCTTGGTCTCTAGCCCTGTTTTTGACTCTAGTCTTGGTCTGGACACTGGCCTTGATCTTGGTTTGGTCTTGGCCTGAACTCCAGTCTTGGTCTCCTCTGTTGGGCCTGGTTTTGACTCTGGTCTTGGTCTCCGTGCCTGCTTTGGACTCTGCTCTTCTTTTCGTCTTGGTCTTGGTCTCTGAGCTTGCTTTGGACTCTGGTCTTGTTTTGGTCTTGGTCTTGCCTCTGGTTTTGGGTTGGACCTGGTTTGGAGTCTGCTCTTGGTCTCTAGCCCTGGTTTGACTCTGATCTTGGTCTGAACTCTGGTCTTGATCTTGGTTTGGTCTTGGTCTGGACTCCAGTCTCCAGCCCGGTTTGTGCAGGGCTGTGGTCTTGTGGTGTACAGTGGTGGTTTGGTGCCCACTTTCACTAAAGCATGAAAAGAGCCGTTAAGCTGTGCTACAGACCGCAGACTCATTCAGACTCACCCGTAATGGCTTTTATGGGTCCACTGTTGTTGCGCACCACTTTTCCTAAACTTTACTGCTTCCCTTGGTCCTCGTCGCTGTAATTGAGGTCACAAATTCACTTTATGCAGCTGGATTATCTCCCTAATTTGTACTGAACCAATGCTCTTGTTTTATTAACTTTGTTTGTAAAACTTTTATAGCAGGTTTAAGATAGTTATTCTCTAGTTTATAAAGTTACACATCACTGTAGTCAACTATAATTCTTGTAAAATGCTATAGAAATTCAAATAAAAATGTTCATTTACCATGTCATACAGTATAGTTTAATTTACCTACTTTTATGTGCAAGTGGACTTTTAAATAAAATAATAAATGTTAAACAGCATAACTGCTCCTGAGATTCCAGACAAAGCTTTGAGTCTCTGGACTCAACCTGAAAAATTACATTGTGCACTAGTGTTGTTTAGGGTCTCATAATACTTTATCGTCACCGTATGAGCCTCTCGGTACGATATTTATTGCGATATTGTAGGAAATCTCACAATATGGTGGAGAGGTGCACGATTAGGGATGAAACAATATCCAAATCTCTTGGTATGATATTTTCACAATATACATCTCACAGTATGATATTTATTGCGATATGTTGTGCAGTGCAATAAAACTGTTAATATGCTAGTTTTTCCTCTGAAAATGCTGTGACAAGACTTAATCCAAAGAACTAAGACTTAAAAGTGCTTAGAACTGTTATTTCTTCTTGTAGTCTACCCTGAAATGGATCTTAAGGATTATGGTCTATGTAGTTCCTGCTGTCTTTTTTTCTATTGCTGCACCATAACTATTCATTTAAGCGACTTGTAATTCGATATATTTGATGGTCCACAATATTATTGTGACACCTTTGACGATACAATATTATGATATTTCGGTTATTGTTACTTCTGTAATGTTGTCACAATACTAACATTTCAAACTTAATTTTGATACTAAGGTATAGATTCGATAATAAATATCAATTCCGATACCAGAATGATCATAACACTTTCTTCAGACCATAGAATGTGATTTTCAGCATTCAATTGTGGTACTTTTTTCTATTCCCATGTGGTTTTATATCTGTGTATTCCCTCAGTCTTCCAGATATGTTCCATGGTGGTCCAAGGGCGTACATGGCTCAAATGAATATCTGGTTTCAATACGAGTTTTAGTATCTGTTATCAGTATCAGTAGCTGATTTTCGATATTTTTGACAACGCTATAGTGCACACCTTTAATGATTCACTTATATTTTCTCACTAAACCTCTTCAGTGTTGATTCATGCCCAAGTTCCTCCAGAAGATATTATTAGAGGTCAAAAATATTATTGTGTGCCTGTGTGAAGAACAGGAACCAACAACACCCACGGGGGTCATTTGGGGTCATTTTTATTTTCCAAAACAAAACACATGACTCCACTTTGGCCCTGTCCCTGCATCTGTGGCTGTTTGAGCTGGCCCACAGAAGCCACCACTAATTTGCCGTCGTTTTGCACTAAATTGGGCGCGTCCCCTCTGCAAAGTGGCGGAGCACGGTGGCAGCAGTTGCTCATTAGAAAAAGCTGATTAGATTTGGCTGCAGATAGAAAAACACAGAGGCTTTACAAAGTGGCAAATGGAAGTCACCGTGCTCCACGCTTTATAATGTACATTTTATAATAAAGTCAAAATTTGCCCTTATTATTGCTCATGTTTTTATGTTTTTAAAATGAAAACGGCATCGCCATAAT